ATATATATATATAATAATAGATTATACAGTGCGATACTCATGGGGCTTACACTGAGTTAGTTTAAATTACAAAAATACGCAAAGGCACTTGGTAAAAATCTTCAGTTTTTCGGCTGAAAAACATTTCGGGATAAATCCTTAAACTCAAAGTTTACATATCGTGTCCGTCACAATTCTCATTTGACGCTACGATCGAATTAATTGCATGACAATGGTAACAACGATAACGAAGAAAGAAACTTCTTTAGTTTTATTTGGATCATTAAAAGTCATAAATACTTTTCAAAATATGTTCATGCAACGAGAGAAAGGAAGTCCATAATTTACTACTGTAATCCGAAACGTTAATTTCTCGTATACATAGTCTAGAGACAATGAAATATTCACACGAGAAGGGCAAAGTTGCACGTCATTCGCGCATTGTTCCCATCATGTAGATGTACAGTATTACGCACTCAGATTTTACGCAACATTCGTATAATTCGGATACAGGCATAGAGATCGCAGAAAATAGACAGCTTTTTATAGACACTCTTCTTAAAGATTCGAAAAGAATATCTCTCTTCAGAAGACTATAATTTCGTATATATACCATCGCTATACCCATTTCTCTCGCGACGCTCACGAAGAAAACACGCAACATGATAGATTTCATTTCCATTACGGCAGAATATTGCACACAAAATGCCGCATGAACTATGTACTATATCAATATCGGTATCACACATAAAATCGTATAAAACAGATTGTAAAATAATTAATAGAATATCCGATTAACACGGAGTCAGACCTCAAAGCGCTAATTAAAAGCTACTTGATGCGCGGTCGTATAATAACTTTTAACGTATCTGGAATTAAAATACGCATCGATGTAATTATCTACTTTGAAATTTAGATAAAAATTATGCACGCACGGGCGCGACATATATAGATTCGCTCAATATAAGCGTAGGAAACATTTTTAGCAACATATATAGGCAGCTTTACACTATATTTTTTCTAGCTGTAATAAACACCTGTTAGGTATTAAAGTAATCTCATGACTTTTATATACAATTTATAACATTGTGTCAAGTAACATTAGCGTATTGCATTAAGTTGGTTTTATATATACAATACCGGGCTGCGAAAAGTCCACTGGAACGCGAGAAATTAATGACACAAGCGAATTTAGCGACGCGAGAATAACGGTATATTCTGTTTATATAACGTTTATGTAACGCCGTTATGTGGTAAAATCGACACTTGTCAACGGAGGGATTAAGGGATGTTGTACATACACGTTGGGTATATTTGTATAGAACATGCTTACGCAAATATACGCTTATATCATGTATATAAGTTTCGTATATACATGTACTAAATAAAAAGATTAATAATTGGTCTTATCATACAGTAAAGTCGTAAACTTAAGGCGACTAATTCGCACCATGGTCCGGTTTAAATTCTTTTCTTATCGTCACACGAATTGATTTGAACTTTTGATTGCGCTATTATGGGCCATTAGATTCAGCATCATTTGTAATTACATAAAATTGAAATGTGCGATATATAAATGCCCATTTTACTAAAATTTTCTCTTTAACAAGTAGAATATTGACAAAAAATGTACGATCAGTACAAAATAAGCAACGATAAATGTAACAAAATTTGTCAGAATGTTAATTTCATTAATCTCAAATTATTGTCAAAATAAGACTGCATATAAACACGAAATATCCAGCAATGCTTGAATAAAGACTTGAATGTAATTTAATAGATAATACTTTATCTTTCAAAAATCAAGGAAGACGAAGTTTGTGTCGTAAAAATTATTTTAGAGAAGCAGCGCTCAGTCACACCTGGGACTAAAAGGATTAATTACTCACATTTCTCAGAAGGTAATTCTAGTTAAACAAGTATGGAATCGAGAGATTTTCTCCCTAAACTCAGTGCGCATCAATTTTCACTAATTGGCACTTTGTTAACCCGATGCTAATAGTATCCATTGGTCCACGGACCAACTCGCTCGTTCTAGGATTACAAAATATTCTCACAAACATTATCAGTAGCGACTTGACGTTCAATTCTAAACATTAAGGTACATACATATTGTTGACTCGAAGATGCATCCATTCAGCACATTCACTACATTTTCAATCCTTTCCCAACGGAAATTCCTTCAATTCTGGAATTCTAATAAAGTTCCTGTCGAGAAAGAAGTTTCTCAAATCATGCCATACTTACGTGACTAATAAAACAGTAGTCGAGCAGCTCGATTGCAATCTTTTTCGCAGTGACTTAAAGTACGTGGAGGTTCTCGCAATTCTTAAATTTGCTATCTTCTTTGCCGAAAAGCCAAGTCAGCATCTGTCTGGCTTTCATACTGGCGCGTACAACGCCTCTAGATTTGTACCAATGAGCACTACCCTCACTGCCACCGCTGTTTCGATTCTCTTGGTTACTTTGGACCACCTTTAAACGGATCTGGTTGAGTATTCCAACAAGGAGCTCGTCGACATTGTGATTGATGCCCACCGATACTTCAATGAACTTTGCACGGTAGGTACATGCCAAGCATTTCCCATCTACAATGTACAGTCCAAAAATTTGAGATAAAGTATTACAATTAAAATAGAGGAGTTTTTAAATTATTATTGTTTAAGTTCTCTATTACTATATCTTTAATAGAAGTACAATAATAAAGAATTTAAAAAAAAATCTTTGCTCTTTTTTTAAATAGAAGAGTCAAAAAATAGAGTTATATTAAATATAAATATGTT